GGCGCTGTTTCCACTTATATTATTCACTCTGCACTTGAAAAACCAGCTTCCTCTTCAGATGAAAGTGGAATGCATTTTTCTAGTATCTCTTTTATATATCTACACACTCAAACCTTTGATTAGGTTAAACATTACAAATGCAAAGAAAAGGCAACAATTGATACTAAATTTGTGTTTTCTTCTCCCCCACCGCATAGGCCCACTTGCAAGAGCGAAATGACCCTCCGCAGCTGCTGTTAGACTTCAAGTATATGTTCCCAGTTTTGTTTCCATTCAACCCATCCTCCATAACCATGGACTCTATTCATCTCCCTGCTTCTCTCAACTTGGAATTTCTCAATAAAGTCTGAAGAAAATATAATTAGTCCATCTCTCATACCCAGAGACCTCCAGCCAAAAAAAAAAAAAAAAAAAAGAGAGAGAGAGAAATCAAAAAAGGAATTAAGGAGCTCTTTAAATGTGGACCAAATGAGTTTATGGAAGAACCAATACACAGTAATAAATGGACTGTACAGTAAAAAAAGAGACTGATCTGTATGTGATTTTTTTGGTAATTTGTAGCTCAGTGTAAGGATACTTGAAATACAGTTTTGTTTCTTTTTTTAAACGTCTTGATTTTATGCTGACATAGTTCAGAGCCCATGATAATCTCCAAAAGCTGCTACCAGAAAAGAATGGTTAGTGGAGACAGCTTACTTTTCTTCATAGTCACCTATGAAGATCAATGACAGTTAAAATTCAAAAACAAAATCCTAGACATTTATGCTGCCTTCAAGGACATACAATTTGTCTAATAACTAGGTGGTCTGTATATATTAATAATGGAGATATGCAATTCTGCCTATCGTTCTTGCTAGTAACTATATCATAATAATTAAGAAATTAAATTGCAGAAGGTACCAATATGTGTTTATCATGCAGGTTAAGGTAACAGAATTGAACAATGCTTGTTTCCCCTGATCTGGAATTTGTCATGAATTCTCAGTTTCAGAAATGTTGTGGCTCTCCTTACTTCATATGGGGCATCTCTTACTTACACACTACAGGGAATTCAAATAAACTGGCAATTTGGACTTTCTTCCATTACCAGATTTATATTAGTGACTCACAAAGATTGCATCCTAATGACATGATCTTGAGACAAGGGACTGCCTTAGGCCTCCTGCTTCTAGTATAGGCAAGCGTCATCCTGACCCCTGTTGCTGGCTTTCCCTGTGCTTTTAGAAGTCAAATACTCTCATGCAGCAGCTAAGGGTTGTTGAGCTTGAGAAAAGAAGTCGTTTCCTTACTCTTACGTAGCCGTTATCAGAATCTTACGTATAAGTCAGTCAGGCAAATGCAACCCAGTTTAATAATCAGGTCCCCAGTCCTACTTCGTTCAGTGGATTAGTCCTAGCTGTAGCCTAGGACTAGGAAACAAAGATTCTGTTCAACTCAACGGCCATCAGAACATTTACCAGTGGTGCAAATACCAGGCTTAGATAAATGAAGAATACTTTAAAAAGTTTGAAAGTGAAAGGGAATGGCTAAGCAATGAAATGGTTTAACACAAAAAACCGTCAGTTAGCGTGTTAGTAACATCAGCCATTTTCTAAAAGAGCAAACAAGAATCCTTTTATCTACCACAATCCAATCAATTCAAATTCTGTTAGGACATTTTTTACATAACCAATATATTAAACACATCTTCTTACCTCACCAGCTAGGCATTAGAAGTGGCCAGCTACTCCCAAAAGCAGTAACTGATTTTTCTAAATACTTAGCACACTACATTTGATCACTGCAGTCACTGCAGGAAACCACTCTGCTTGCTGAAACGGGGGAAAAAAATGGTTTCCAAGGGTGAACGAGGCTTTACAACAATCCTGTGCACGATACAATTGTGGCAGGTCTGCACATTGGGACTGCACGGTTACAGTGGTGATGCTTTGGCCGTAACTCACTATGCCTTGGTGCAGCAGCAAAGGCTTCCCGCATCTTATAACCGGGACTATTTTGGCCTTTCCACTTCCATAATGGTCTTGTCTAAGTAGATCTTAACTTGCTTGCTTTTGTGATTGCAGTCCTAGTCGTCTCGGCACTTCCAGGATGATTAAGAGCTTTCAGAAAACCTCTCTTCATCTTTCGGACTACTTTTATTTGGTGTAAGTTATATCCACACAGCAAATTTATGATTAGGTATCCAGTCAGCTCAGAGTATTAAAAGAGAATGTAAAGGCTCTTAAAGATACACAACACTAAAAAAAAAACCACTGTGCTGCAGTCACCTTTCTAGATAGAATGTGTTGGATTTAAACATCATGTATATAATCTATGTATATACAAACTGTAATAGTCCTGTATGTACTATATGTGTATATTACTGTCCAAAAGCACATTTTTAAAGAAAAAGTTGAGTGCTGTTACAAATTGTATTGGTCTATGCTTGAGCGTAAATACTTTTTTTCAAATGGAGGACTAGGATTTAGTACTGCTATTACCAATGAAGGACAGAGTTAAGACCATTCCCTAGGGAGAAGTTATTTTTTCCTCTAACCATTACCCAACTAATTATAGAAGAAAATTTATTACTTGTACAGTGCCAGCAGTACCTCCAAATTGCAGTCCTTGAGTATCTGCATCTACTGCATATATTCAGCAGTGCCTTCATCTCCCCTTCACGCGCAGTAAGAATAACACCACCATATTGCTGCCTGCACCCAGCAAGCACGCACTCTTCTGTCACTTGCTCATCCTCAATGTTTTTAGTTATTGTACCTACCTCTTTTCACATTTTGCAAATGAATGTTTTTGCGATGCTCTGAATTTAATTTTCCAATTAAATCTTACCACTTTTTTCCATACAATAGTAGTTGTCACCGTACGAAACAGAAATAAATTTCAAAATTTAGTCTCTCTGCAATGTGGTTATAACACACTGCTATTTCTCAGAATTTGTCTTAGGCCAGCAGTTTCCTCTCAGGCTCTTCAGGGCTCTACCTCTCTGTTGTAAATTATTCGGTGTACAATTCCCAACAGACTGATTAAACCACTGCTTATCAGTCAGACTAAGTGACAGGTTGCTGCAGAATCCTCTTCTGCAAAGATTTTGTTGCTGATCACAGTTATAAAATGTGGTTAATGCTCTTCTAGGGGATAATAGTCTTTCACTGGAGTTTTCAGGATCATAATTTATACATACAACAAAGAGACTCTCTTAAAAGAGGTTAGTATGTATGAACTGGAGGAACTGGGATTTAATGTCTTGACCTATAATAACGTAACTTGTCCATTAAACTCCATCTGGAAGAGGACTCTGTATTAAATACCTTTAATATATGTAATTTTCTCTGTTAGCAATTTTTTAAATTTGTTTTTAAATGTTAATTTTGTTAAATTGCTGTGCTCAAGCATGCCTTTCTCTCCTCGATTTGGCACGTCTGTATTTAAGGAGCAAATTTAACACAAAACGCGGCTTTGAGAAAGCTGGCTGCTTTCCAGATATCTTTACTTCTAAATATTGATTATTAAGTTGAGCGCTTTCCCACTGTGTGCCTTTAGCTGTTACTAAGGTAACTGACTTCTGAACCACTGTTTCTGAAACAAATGTTAAACTGTGGGAATATTTTTATTGTTCTATCCTGAAAATGTATCTGTGGATGTAGAAGTCTGCTTATAAAATATGGCTCTGAGAAGGTGCGCAAGAACATTACGAAGTTGCTAGAAAGAAAATGGTATTGGCCCATGTTGGTTTTTGCCTGTATAATGTATCTCAGAAAAGTAGGATTGAGAATCCTAATCTCCATGAAAATGGATAGAATATGTAAATCCTCCACCCTCACCCCAAAACAAACAAAACCAAACCAACCCCCTCCTCAAAGGTGACTTCATGCATGTATTCTGTGTGACCTATGTAGCTGAAAAGCGTTCAGGACAACACTCACATTTCATTTTCACTGTTGCTTTGTTTATTTGTTTGTTTTTGGCAATTTCCAGCTGGTAAAGTTGTAGTAGTTGACTGTGGAAAAGAACATCAGACCTTAGGAGTGAATTTATGCACTCCTCTGTCGTTAACGTTTCTTCTCGTACAGCTTATTTCACTGACTCTAATGAGACTTCTTGCACGAGTGAAATAATAACAAGAGGTGGGCATGTTACAGTGTTTAAGCATACAGCCTCGGCCACCTTTTTTGATAGTGTAACTTAAAAACACCTGCAAGCAGGGAGCACCAAGTCCAGTCTGTCTGATCACACCGCTGAAATCACAATGCAGGTTACTTTCTTGCAAAATCTGACCCTCAATTTGTGTGATTTGCAAAAAAGATGCAAGTAACAAAGATGCACTTTGAAACAGCAGGTTATTTTCCTCCCCTTTCAATAGTAAACTCACTAGATTGTGCAAATTCATTCCCTTCATCTGTGTTTAACTGCAAAATTAACACTTAATGATTGCATATAAATGTGGTAACCTAATTAAAATGAAGTGCATGAACTGCCATGAACCTTTTCCTCTGACTTTATTGATTCACATATTACTCATGAACAATTCTTTTCCTGATTAAAAATTATTGCAATGTGAATGTTACATAAAATAATCCATAGAAATATTCCCCGATGAGCATACGATTTATTTTAAAATGTAAAAGCCAGTGAACGAACACTTTCAAATTAAGTTGAAATTAGAAGAAATGAAATGTGCTGTAACAGTGCAAATTCTCTGGTGTGGGGTTTTTTTTTGGGGGGGGGGGGGTTGGTCTGAGTTTTTCTGCGTTTTGTGAAGTCTCGTTACCTTAACGAGCGGAAGGTATAGCTGCTCTACAAGAAGCTGAATGGTATACAGGGGTGAATACTGTGGATGGAATACTACTGCTTATAAAATATTTTTCCATTTTGAACAAATCTGTAAACTACACCTTTGTTTATAGGAAAATGCTTGTAATAGTCACTGTTAATATTCAGCTGTGGATAAAAACAAAAAAGAAAAAATTTGTGAAATAAACACTTTTGAAGAAATCGTGACTATGGGTCAAAACCGGGACCGTAATAAATAACCCAGTTCAAGCGTTATTCATACCTGTATTTCAAACATTTCTGTTGTTAAAATTCCACAGCGCTCCGCCAACGGGGACAAGGGGGTCTGGCAGCTACAGCCGATGACTTC